TGCTGAACCAGCTGTGGTCTCGCAGCTTGGACATCGCTGCTGCTGAGCGACGGTCCTGTGAAGATACCTGTTCTGCCCGGGTGAGGTGGGGTGGAGGAGCCCCTGTGGAGCAGGACTGCCCTGTCAGGGTGAGCTACCGTGGGGCTATGTATGGGATGGGCGAGGATGAGGGTTTGGACCCTCTCCCCACATCTCCCCGGATGTCCCAGGCCACCGGATCCCTTCCCGTGGTGCAGACCCAGGGTGTTCCCAAGGGGCTTCCAGCTCCACAACTCCATCCACAATACACAATTCACGTCTGCTGCGCCTCTCCTCCCCACGGCAGAGCCCACGTCCCACCCTGGGCCCCACTTGCAGCCTCCCCCCGGTCGCCTGCGCTCCTCAGGTTACTGTTTGACAGAGGAAGGCTTCAACCTGCCCTGTTTCCTGGCAGCTCGCGTTTTTCCGGCTCACAAGGCAGGAGAGGTGGCTTGTGGCACTTTGTTTAAAGGGATGGAGCGGTCATGGTCCCAGCCTGCGAGTCACCCACCCTGCGAGGGTTACCCACCCTGCGGCGTGTAAACGACGTGACAGTGGGGTTGCAGGATCTGTAATACGCAAGGATGTGGAGGCTTTGTTTCCGCTAATTTCTTTGTTACACGTTACTATTAATAAAGAAAATACAGTTATGGTTAGTGAAGCAAGTATGTGTATATATAAATTTGTATTTTTTTTAGTATTAGTAGCAAATATATGTATTTCACTCAAAGTATTACAGTTCATTAAGCTGTTCCCAGGAGTGAGGTCAATCGATGACAGATGAAGTCTCCCTTTGGAGATGATCCGTGTCACAGAGCCTGGAGTCAGCCAGAGGTCCCCGGCGGATCCGAAGGATGGCACAGAGGAGTTCACGCAGGGGGAGCTCTCGGAGAGAGAGGGGCTCGTTTCGGGAAGGTAACCTGTTCCTTTTACATGGATCTGTAAGTGGGCAGAGGACACCAGCTCCTGGAGCAGCTGTTGCTGCCCTCTGCTTGCTTAGGAGTCCCCTTCGTAGGTTATGGCAGTTTAGTTGCCCTGCAGGTTATAGCGGGTTTTTTGTTTCAGGCTTCTCGAGGATGCCCTGGGCTCCAGCTGCGCTTATCAAGGGCGTCGCAGTCTCCCACCTGCGAAGGATGCACCGGGTTCTCAGGCTGGCTGATATTTTCTCCGTCTGTATTTTAGCAGACACCTCTTGCCAGTACTTTTCCCTGTTATAACCAGGTCGCCTTCGCGGCGGCTGCTCCGACAAGGGATTGGTGTCGTTCCCTCTGTCCCTGCAGGAGGAGGCTGCACTGGGTCCGGCAGTGACCCCGCGGGAATCTCACCCACGCGTACCGGCGGTGCTGGGCGTTGTGAACTCTTTGCTCGTTCCCTGTTAGCAGCACCCGTGCCAAAGCAGGACCGGGGCTCTGCTCGGGTCCTTGGTGCTTGGCTGGGGAACGTCCACCACCCCGTCTGCCATCGTGGCAGCTTCCTGCCCAGGC